TAGTTTTTTAGAACTCTGCTTAATTTTGTTGTACAGGGAGTCAAACTCATTACCTGGTGCTTGCCAGGCAGGTATTATGCCCCTGAGCTGTACCCCTAAGCCAGGGAGACTTTAGATGCAATGTGCAGGACGCACAGAGATGATACAGCTAAGCCAAGATTTGCAAAGAACATTCCAGACAGGGAGGACTTTTAACTCTAAAGCCCCTAAAGCCAGAAGTAGCTTTCTGTGCTTGGGAAGTAAAGCAGGAGGGAAGCACAGTGCACCAGGGAGACTGGAGAAGGCCGGAGGGGCAGCCATGGAGACTCTTGTGAGGAGTTTGTGTTTTATTCCAAATGCAACAGGAAACCAGGGAGCCAGGGTGATGGCTCAGTGGAACAAGCACTTCCCTGGCAAGTGCAAAGGCCTGAGTTCAGTCCCTGGTTCCACCAAAAAAAAAGAATAAACAGGAAACCAGTAGAGTGGTTAAACTAGGGACTGATGACACTGAATTTGCATTTTTCAAACGTTACTTTGCAACCCAGTTGTTCTCCTGTTAGGTATTTACCCAAGAGAAGTGAAACCATCTGTCCTCACAAAGACTTGTTCCTAAATGTTTCTAGCAGTTTTAGTCAGCCCTAACTGAGAAGGACCCTCGTCAGGACAACCAAGCAGCAGGCGCTGATTCACACACACAATGGAGTCCTACTCCACAGCAAAAAGGGGACACAGTTGATATACACACGCTATGGATGACTGTCCCAAATGTGACACTGAATCAAAGAAGCCAGACCTCAGCAGGATGTGGTGGTGCACATCTCTGATCCCAGCTACTCAAGCTGGGGCAGGAAGATCACAAGTTCAAGGCTAGCCTGGGCAACTTAGTGAGTTTTTACCTGAAACATTTATTTGTTTTTGGTTTTTTGTACCAGGAATTGAACTCAGGACCTTGTACTTGCCAGACAGGTGCTTGTACCACTGAACTATCTCCCTGGCCCCTGAAACACTTATTTTATTTTATTTTATTTTTTGGTTACACTGGGTATTAAACCCAGGGCTTCAAACATGCTAGGCAAGTGTTCTCACAGGGGGCCATCCCTCCAGCTTTTTAGAATAAAAATTTAGGGGGCCTGCCCATTAGCTCAGGTGTTTTAAGTGCCTGCTGAAACAAAGCAGTCAGGCTCAGGATGCTGTGGTTCAATCCCCTCATCCTCAAGCCAAACT